CTATTAGTGGAATATTCATTTTCAGTTGTCATGTAAACAGCTTGGGCAAAAAGTGGAATAATTTGTGCTTGTAAACGTAAACACAACCTTTATTATCTCTCTCTTCCTTCCTCAGACAGGGTTCGGTTGGCCAGCAGGCCAGAGACGCTCTGCTGCTCATCATGTCTCTGTCGGGCTCCGATCCTCGAGTCGCCCAGCACATCGCCGAGAACACATACTTCTGTCCTGTGAGTGCACACACACACACACCTATACATGGACTGCCACCAAACATCACATTAAGGACGGATAGTTTCATTCCAAGACGACCGAGGAGACGGCGCCTCTGCTCGCTGTCTGTTGGCGCAGGTCTCATGGTCGTCTTCTGTCTGCCAGAGTGTCTACTAGTCTTGGAAATGTCAAGGATTTATTCAGGATCAGCGTCACTCAGTAGATGTGAATCACAGAGATAAGCCCATTTGCGCTATTTTGCATGCTTCAAACATAATGACATGAGGTTAACACGGTGCTGTTGATGGGAAGGATGGAAAGAAACAAAAACATTCCCTAAAAAAAAGAGTGCTGGTTACATTTATTCTTAACAACTTCTTAAAAAATACGATTTTTGAGATCATTAGCCACTGTTTTTTTTTGCTGACTCAGCAGTCGATGGACTTTAAATAAATACATGTGAGCTAAATCAATCAGATTAGTTAAACCAGCCATACATCTGTGGATCAATTAAAGGTAAATTCCATAAAGAGAGCTGCTAGTTTACCCCACATAGACCCACATTAGCTGAGCTAAACTAGATTAATCTTACCTTCAAAATGCTTGAAAATAAATTAAAAAGGCCCTTATGTGTTTTTATGAGAGCATGCAATTGGGAAAACAGTTAGAAAGCCAATTCAATAGCTCATTAATACAGATATATTTATTTTTTTTATGAATGAGATGGCTGTTTAAATAAGTGGAGTTTGTTTGGTGCAGCTCTCCATTCATCTCCCCTCTGCATTGTAATCTCATTATCACAAGTTACGTAATAAACTAACAAGCTCATACTGCCCCCTCAGGGAGTATCAGTACGTGTGTGTGTGTGTGTGT